TCGCGCTGGCCGCGGCCGATCGGGATCAGCGCGTCGATCGCCTTCAGGCCGGTCTGCATCGGCTCGTGCACCGACTTACGCGGGATGATGCCCGGCGCCTTGACCTCGACGCGGTGGCGCTCGACGTCCTCGAGCGGGCCCTTGCCGTCGATCGGGTTGCCCAGCGCGTCGACCACGCGGCCCAGCAGACCCTTGCCCACCGGCACGTCGACGATGGCGCCGGTGCGCTTGACCGTGTCGCCCTCGTTGATGCCGCGGTCGTCGCCGAACAGCACCACGCCGACGTTGTCGTGCTCCAGGTTCAGGGCCATGCCCTTGACCCCGCCGGGGAACTCGACGAGCTCGCCGGCCTGGACGTTGTCCAGACCATAGACGCGCGCCACGCCGTCACCGACCGAGAGAACCGTGCCGATCTCGGCGACATCGGCCTCGGCGCCGAAGTTCTCGATCTGCTGCTTGAGGATCGAGGAGATTTCCGCGGCCCGGATGTCCATCATCCAACCCCTTTCATGGCGAACTTAAGCCGTTCGAGCTTGCTTTTCAGGGACCCGTCGACCATGCGGCTGCCGACCTGGACGATCAGCCCGCCGAGCAGTGAGGGGTCGACCTGGGTGTCGATCTGTACCTTGCCGCCGACCTTCTTCTGCAGGGTCTCGGCAAGTTCGGCCTGCTGCGCGTCGGACAGCGCCTGGGCGGAGATCACCTTGGCGGTGACCTCGCCGCGGCGCCGGCGCAGCTCGGCGATGAAGGCGTCGATCATGCGGGGCAGGGCGAAGAGCCGCCGGTTCTCGGCGACCACGCCGACGAAGCGGCGCACCAGCTCCCCGGCCCCGGCCTTGTCGAGGATCGCGGCGATCGCCTTGGCCTGGTCGGCGCGCCCGTAGACCGGGCTGCGGATCAGGTTGCGCAGATCGTCGCTGTCGGAGATCAGCTCGCGCAGGCCGGTCAGATCGTCGGCGACGGCGTCGAGCTGCTTCTTCTGGTCGGCCAGTTCGTAGAGGGCGAGGGCATAACGCCCCGCCAGGCCGCCTACGGTTTCGTCTGTGCCTGCCAAGCCCGTCGGCTCCCCAAGAAACAACACCGATGGAGTTCGAAGCTCCGCGGCGCGCGGGCGCGCCGAGCCGGTCTTCGAAAACCGCGCGCGCCGACCTCTGCTTGTCCTGCCGGAGGCTGTGACCGGTCCGCGCTGCGCGAGACGTGCACTCCCATCGCGCGGGACGGGCCCGCGGCGAAAGCGTGGGGTAGGTATCACAGGCCTCTGGAGCGTGCAAGCCGAGTCGGGCGCGCTTTTTGCAGCGCAACCGGCGGCTCCGCGCCGCCGGACCGCAGGAGCGTCCGGCGGCCGGCAATACAGAGATAGAGCGTTGAATTGCAAGGGGCTTGCGCGGCGGGCCGGCCGCCCGGCCGCGGCGCGGCTACCAGAAGCTGTAGGGGTCGATGTCGACGGCCAGGCGCACCGCGCTGGGCAGCGCCACGGCGGCCAGCCAGCCGCGCAGGATCTGCTGCAGCGGCAGGTCGCGCCGGGCCTTGACCAGGAAGCGGCGGCGGTGGCGGCCGCGCAGCACCGCCAGCGGCGCCTCGGCCGGCCCCAGCAC